TGTTAATTGCATTTTTTTAGTGATAAAAAAAACAACAAAATAACACTTTCTTGTTTTTTTGTACTGTTCCGTCTTGCTCTGTCTTGTAGAATTAGGTTTAGTTATCCAAATAAACGCATCCCAACGGCAGGGGAGGTTCTGAAGGTATGCAAGATGTGCAACTGCACATGCCCATTTTTTTTAGTTAATTTTTATTGTAATTTAGGACCCAAAAATTATTAAAATTATATATAAAATGGCCCAAAATTTTTAGATTTTAGTAAATATAAACCATTTTTTAAAAAAAAATTAAAACTTTTGCACATGACCCAAAAATTTTTTGGCTTTTTTTTAGCCGCCCATGCCCAACGGTATCTCTTGGCCTTGGATCTATGCGGATTGGAAGATCTTATCGATGAGATTGGATGATATGGTCGTATGGGTCTGAGTCGGGCTCCCATCTTGGTTGGAGGCCGATAAGAGGAGAGGCTTTGCTTTGGCTATGAAGAGGGTCGATGTGATTGTTACGGTGAGAACTCTTATTTGATAGTTTGGGTTTGTCGATCGGAGTGCGTTCGGTTGGGATTAAATTGGGAGAAAATCTTAAGAACAATGGTCGTATATATGATTGACAAACACAAGGATTAGAGGTTGAAGCCGTGGTTTTGTTTATGCTGCATTTGGTTTCAATGGGTGTCGGTTCTAAAGAGTAACCGTCATGTCTCTCAAAGGTAGAGCTCTATTTCGGCGATGTCAATACAGACAAGCATATGCCGCTTCTTCGAAGCAATTGTATACCAGTGAAGATTGGGCATAGCAATGACTAATTTGGTATTTAATGTATATCATTGTATCAAGTTAGTTGCAGGTGTTCGGATGAATGTTTTCATCTCTTCAAAATTTGTGTTTGAAAGATTAATGAAATTCCAGATGTTAAAAAAAAAAAAAAAACTTTCTTTTACTTACTCTTCCCTTGTTTAGGGGTTAACTGGTCCGGTGGCCCAAGGGTCAATAGGCCCAAGATAAGGAAAAAAACCCTCAAAACAATTTCCAAATATTACGACATCGTTTTAAAAACATCTTTTGTTGCGTGTTTGGTCCTTTGTAAATTCCTTGCTTCGTAGTTGAAGCATT